CAAAGAAAGTACAACTGAAAAGGGCAAAAAGATAACCCACTAAAAAGAAATACACCATAATGGTAAATTTGATCACCTATCAAAGTAATTAAAAAATTTAATTGTAGTAATTAATATAAAAAATTTGTTTGATAATCTCATATTTAAAATTTAAGTTCAGTTAAAAACTACTTAATTAAGTAAGTTAGAGTTTCTAATTTAAATTTTTTTTATTAAGACGTTCGATTAAAAAAATTTTAAAACATTTTAAATATAATTATATAATTCTCATGTATTCTTACAACCTTAGGTAGTTTCAATATGATTAGGATGCTTCACCATAGAGAGACCATAATTGGACAAAGGGTTTTGATAGACACGGAGAATAGGAGAGTGGTGAATTTTGGGAATGAGTTTTGAAGTTGATACCCTCCATGGGACATTCTTTTGAAGCCCAGGTGTTGTCCCTCTTTCTTTGGCATCCCTCCCTCCCTCTGCTACTTCTACTTCTGCCTCTGATTAGGGCTTTACTAATAAGTGTAAGATACTGGAAGAGGAGGAGGAGATTATTCTGGTTTATGGTGAGGGAGAAGGAGATGGAAGGCTAGGAAGGAAAGATAGGTTAGATATTAGATAAGCCAGATCGATAGATGAGAGGAAGGAAGGTGCAATTGCCAGATAAAACGAAATTAGATTTGACAATAGACATTAAAAAGTAATAAAAAATAAAAAAATATTGCTTTAGAAGTTCTCAAATTTTGAGGCTTTAGAAATTGGATTTGACAATAAACATTAAATTTTTTTTATTAATGATCATTTTTACACACACACACACACACATATATATATATATTATGTTACAATTGTAAGGTTAAAATTGTCATATATATAGCTTTAATATGTTCAATAACACTACTTATTAAATAATCTTATTATATTCGAGTACTTAATTTTCAGCAAATGTCAAACGAACTTGTTAGTATTATTCGACACTTAAAATTTAATATTTAACAGATTCAATTATTAATTTTCAGTTTTATCAAACATCATCTTAGTATGACTCTCTATGGCTATTCTCTGCCTTTCACAAACCACATCGTGTTTGATAAGCCAAAGGAAACTAACTTTTACATATAGCATTCAGAGAGGAGAAAGAGATTTTTTATTTTTTATTTTTTGTGCTGCAAATTTATTTTCTTTTGTTTACATGTTCATCGTTTTTATCGTGTTATAAATTCAAATAGTATTATATTCCCATACAAAAAAAAAATCGTAATATATTATTTTTCAAAAGAGAAAAATGCAAAGAAAATTTTATTTTCTCATTTTTATTACATTTTCAATTCAAATCATACTATATTTTAAAAAATATAATTTTTTGCTTGTCATTTTTTTATTCATTATTTTTTTATTTTCATTTTGTCTATTTCTACTGTATTTTCAATCTTTTTTTTTATTGAATATCTTATTGCGTTCCACATATTTCATAATATTATAGATTTAATTGTAATACTTTTCTCACCTAAGGAAAGAAATTTATGTGAAAGGAATTTATTTATTTGTTTATTATTATTTTGTTAACTAAAAAATGTGATTGTCTTCTGCCATTTTATGTCAGAATGGACAAGTTCTATCAAACTCTTAATATTTTTGGAATTTAGAAAACAAGTTTAATTCTCATGGTAATCACAAGAAGGTATCAAAATTGAGATTTAAGTCTGAAACATTTGATTAGAAATCAAAAAAAAATTCCTTCGCTTTTCGTCTTTTGTCACAATCCTTTAGAGGAGAAAAGCATCACAATTAAATCTATTATTATTATTATTATTATTTTATTAACTAAAAAGGTGTAATTTTCTTTGACCATTTTAGGCGAGAATGGACTAGTGCTAAATCTAGGGATTTCAAGTTATTTATATATAGTTTAAGAATCGAAAAAGCATATTTTGTGGTGATCATAATAAGACATCAAAAGTGAGATTTAAACTCCAAACTTTCGGTTAAAAATCTAAAAATTCTACCATTAAACAACTATTTGTGGTTAAATTTTACAAGTTAATATTTTCTAATAATTTTTTTCAATTTAAATATTAATTTATTATTAAAAACATTTTTTATTTTTATTTTTTAATTCACTGTTATTTAAGACCCATAATGACACGTCTCAATTAATGATCGGTGGCTATACGATAACATGCTATATCAGATAAATGGTTAACGAAGAATGTAAATCAATAAGTTTCATAGGATAAAAGATTTCAATCAAGTTAAAAAAACATAAAAAATCTTAATTAAAAAAACTAAACAGTATAAGGATCAAACATAAGATAAATTCTTTGTTTTTTAAATAGGGTTTGTTGTGGATGATAAATAAAGTTGGGATTTTTATGAGGTGGTTCGTTCTTGTTGCTAAAAGATGGAAAATGCGAGACATTTTTAAGTGAAAAAAAACAAACATGCAAAGAGTGTTGGTCTTGGTGGGCAAGTGTGCGTTCTTTGTAGAGTAAATTTGCAGTAGGCCAACCTGCTGGTCCCCTCTAATTATAAACCAATACTTAATATGGTCCTCAAACTATTAACTTTCTCGATTAGGTTTCTTTTACATATTTAGTCTCATGATTACAGTCTTCCATTTTTATTTTATTTTTACAAATTATTAACTTTCTCGATTAGGTATCTTTTATATATTTGATGGGAACACTAACACTTTTCCACTAACAAACAAGACCAAAATATAGAAAAAATGAAAATAAAAAAAATAATCATTCATTTTAAAAAGAGGTCATGGATGGACGGGAGAACATAACACATAATGGCTGTAGGACATGATTTAGATAAGATTTTTTTTTCATTAAATGATATGTTGAAAATAGAATACAAGAGAACAGTCTCAACTTTTTGGCAATGATAATAAACTTATGATATTCAAAATAAAATTGATGAATTTCAGTTAATCGTGAATGACTTCAAACTTAATTTTCTGTTTTAGCTTAATATTTCAAGTTGTTTTTTCCTAGTTGTATGTATATACAATTGAAACCAGATTATCCTTGTAAACAAATATTCCCCCGTCATTTTTTGTACCCAAGAATACATAATTGGTTCTTGAGTATTCAAATCACATAAGAATAATTGGTCAGTGCTAAATTCTAAAAAAATCATATCATTTTCCCAATGTCCATTTGGATACTGAATTCTGGAAAAAAGTCCAACATTGATTGTTTTGGTCCGACAAACCTCATCCAATATTCATGTATTAAGAAACTTCTCAATATCTTATAGAGAAAACGGAGAAATCAAATCACAATATAATAAAAGTGTTTTAGAATTCAGTTTATCATAATCTAATATCTATACCTCTTGAAACTCATTTATAGTCATGTCTAAAGAAAGAATCACATTATTTTCATCATATCAACAACGTATTTCATAATTAAAAAAAGCTAATTGGGAAGAGCTAAAATAAAAAATTTCTTTTATATAACACATACCGTCTTTCAAGCTAGTGGCATCAATTTTTCCCTAATTTATATTCAATGAAAAATATTTTAAGTTATCACTGTTTACTCTCATTGCATCTCATTAATCAATATGATAAGGTCATAAAACTGAAATGGACCTCTTTTTATCTCTTATTTTGTTGTTTTTCTTGGGTTCAAGAGAACACCCAAGTTATCCAATACTAGTCGATTTGCATAGGTTCTCAAATTTCTCTCATTTTAGACGCATGGGATACCATATTGGTAATTTAATAAACTAACCTATCTTGGTTTTGCCCTTTTAACAACGGAAAAGGCTTGCCAAAATTTTTACTTCTTACTTACCTATAAGTTCAGTTCATGATTTAGGTGTCAATAATTCTTTTTAGTTTATCATTTTTACTTTTAGCAGAACTAAGCAAATATCTAAAACTCCATGCTTTTTTTTGTTTGCCCATTTTTCTAATCTTGATGGAAGGGCTATCAAGACATGAAGCGTATGAGATGTCATAGTTTTTGAGAATATTCAACCTGTGATCAAATGGCAATTCTCCATTTACACGTCGACCCAATTTGAATGATTCTTTGCCAACTCACTTGAGAAAAATTACATTTCTAAAACAAAATGTTTCAATTTGGCATGTTAAAGTATGTCCTTGTTACATATATATATATATATATATATATATATATATATATATTATATATACCTTCAAACCAAACTAAAAGCAAAATAGAAGCCTTTCGGATAGTTAATTTGTCCTCCCTGAAACAGCCGGAAAGGCCAATAAATCCTTAATTCATTTTAGCTAGAGTATATTTGGAAAACAAACACTTTTTTTTCGGGGATCATGATTATGAAATCCTAAAATGCTCAAAATTACGATCGATATCGAAAAAGAAACGAAAAGCAAAAACATTATCCCCTCGATCGGAAAGAAAAAACTTGCAAGCACTATATATACAGATGAAATATAATTAGTACATTCTATTAATTTATAGGATTATTACTTGCACTATACCTTTATGAGTAATGCCAGCTCAGAACGTCGATCGGTGAGCAATTGGAGGCAGCCTTTCATCTCCAAAAAGCCAAACTGCATGCCGTGCAATTGTTGTTTTCCTTGAGGTTCTCTAAATCTAGATTAGACCTGGTTGATTATACTCCCATTGTGGGCGAATGTGTCATGATCATCCCCCAACCACCAAAGAATATCACCCAAATTAAGGAGTAATGCTAGTTGGCTATCTAGGTTGAATATTAATGGAGTTGATGCAAGGAAATTCAACATTCACTAGGGGCAGTAATGGTAGGGCAAAACAATGATCGATCATAACTGGCTTATAAATAGAGTTCATATGCAATGGCATTCTTTGCTCAATACCAATACATCATATATCCAGATTCTTATCTATCAACTATATATGAAGACATTCGTTTTTCATCTTATTGTCTTTTCTACACTTTGCTATAGCTCCTCCTCCGGTGCACAAAAAAGTCCTCCACCACCACCACCTCCCGCAATTCGCACAGTTCACCATATGTACCTAGTACTTACGTGGCCATTCGGCTACTGCTCTGGTACGCAGAGGGGGTTGTGTAAAATGAATCCATTGCCCCAGGACATGACTATACACGGCATATGGCCAGTGGACAGTGCTGGGAACTCTATCCTTTCTTGTAAGAAGGCCCAGGATCTTACTGCTGTGGTACCTTACTTATGTCATGTTATGTTGTTACTATTTTGTCTTTTCGTTTAGGGATTTACTTAATTTTGACGCATCCTTCTTTTGCATTTGCAGTTCAATGACAAAACATTGCAGGATAATTTGCTGGATCACTGGCCTAGTCTCACTGGCCTGATTAGCAATATAAAGTCGCAAAGGGATTTTTGGTCTTATGAATATAACAAACACGGAAATTGTCAATCGAAGATGGCCAAAGATTATTTCTGGGCAGGCATCAGTTTGAAGCAGCACACTAGCATCTTCCAAGCTTTAAAGGATGCAAACATAATGCCTGGTCAACATTACAAACGGGCTGATTTTGAAAAAGCAATCAAAGCAAAAGTGGGCACAAGTGATATTTGTTTAAGGTGCTTAAAAAATCAAAATGGTGACTTTCTGCTCAAAGAGATTTACCTCTGCATTGATGCACAAGCAACAAAGGTCATACCTTGTCCAAAAAAAGAAGTACAAAAGAGCAATAATTGTGGATATGGCACCATCAAGTTTGTTTCTGCTGTTGAATCTATAATTGGTTAGCTTTATTCTCTTTATATAGAAAGAGAAACAAAAAGTTAATTATGAATAACATCAAGTATGTTTCTGCTATGTATACTGAATATATAAATGGTTAAATTTTAAATGTATCAAGTTTGTCTCGGTTGAGAAGCTTCGTGCATGAGCCTGCAATCTACATTAAGTGGCGAATTGAGTCGATTAAGACGTCACAGTTTATGAATTTCAGAAACGACAGCATGCTAGACTTCTCTAAAAGTGATATTCCAACTCAAATCTATATCTAAATCTTTCGGATACTTCTATCGATCACAGGACTGTGCAATATGATACAGAGAAACAGGTTGTGATTGCAGGCCACAATTGCCTGATTCTACCATGAAATTATCTCAAATGAAAGAAACTTCTGTGTAGCTTTTCTGCATTGCATGCTAGTATAAATTTGCTAGTAGTGAATTGAAATTGATTCTTTTGCTCGTCGAATTTATCCGTGTCCATCTTATCTTGAAAGATTTAAAGCTAGTAGTTCCATTCCATGCTTTGCAATCAAACAAAGCTTAGGCTTTATACAAAAAATTGTTCATTCTCGGAGGCATTACAAGGATCTGTTTCTCACGGATATAAAAACTGGAAAAAAAACTAGAATATGCACAAAAGTTGACAGAGAATGGTGATTCATTCAATTGCTCTAGCTTTCATACCCAAAAAATTACAGAAATTACAAAAAAATAATAATAATAATAATAATTGGCCAAGAGAGAAAGAAACCTTTGGTTCGTTCCTCATGAAAGAAAATTCAAAATAAAAAAGAAGAGAGAAAGAAGGAGGGAGTTTCGTCCAGAGAGAAAGGAGAAGAAGAAGAATAAAGGAAGAAAAGAAAAGAAAGAGAAGAAAGAGAGAAGGACGAACCACTACAGGTTCGTCCATGGTTAGAGGGGGATTTCGGGAGGAAGAAGAGGAGGAAAAAAACAGAGAGAAAAAGAAAAAGAAAAAGAAGAAAAAGGGGCCCTTGATCCAAAAATTAGGAAAGGAAAAGAAAAGGAAGTGATTGTGGACTTGGTCATTTTTTAAAAGGGTTGGGTTGCGCTTAGCTTAGCCCATGTGTGATTGGACTGGGCAAATGTCAGCCCAGTCAGCCCCGAAAAGGTTAAAAATTGGGCTGGAAGCTGGACTGATTCCAGCCCAAACCCAAAAAGAGTAAAAATGGAAAAAAATAAAATGTGTCTTAGTTTTACATTTTAAACTTGTTTTCATGCATATTTACCATTTCATATTTAATTTAGATATTTAATTATCATTAATCATTTCAATTAATGTAATTTTAATCTTAAATTTATTGCATATTTGTCAGTTTATATTTAACTTAGAATTTAATAATTAAATTTTTTGTAATTTTTTTAATTAATGTGATTTTAATTTTGATTTTATTTTATGCATGTTTTTCTTATTAATTTAGATTTCAGTATTTTCTTTCTTTAATTTATTTAATTAATGTAACTTCAATTTATTTGGTTAGTAATTTGACTAGGTAATTAATAGACGGACGAATTGTCGAGTCTCCTAATCTTCGAGGATCGATGACGATTCCCTAACGAATAAAATAATAAAAAATAAAAAATGATAAAAAAGAAGGTATATTAATTAATTTTAATTTTAGGATTTGTTTCCACAATTAGTTTAGAGAATTAATAGATTGACAAATTGTCGAGTATCTTAATTCTTAGGAATTGATAACAACTCTTCATAGATAAAAATTAATTAAAATTCCTAACAAAGTCTCTTATTTGGTAGGAATTATCATTAACAAAAATTAAAATTCTAAACAAAGTCTCTTATGTGATAAAGACTATCGTTGACAAAAATAACAAAAAAAAAAATCAAAATTCTTAATAAAGTCTTCTATTTGATAGGGATTGTTTTTAGTAAAAATAACAATAAAAAAATAAAAAATCATCATTTAATAATTAGGATGTTATTTGACACATCAATTGTATCGAGGCTTAAAATAGATTCGATGTTCGAACCACTTATCTTCCGACGAAAGGGTTCGACGATCATTTCAATATGATGTCACACTAAAAAAATAAAAACTTAATTTGACTTGAAAAATTAGAGTTTAAATCGAAAGTATTTTGGCATAAATAAAATATTTTAGGAGATGAATTTAGGACTAAATTAGACATAGTACAATTATTAGGAAATTGTGCTTTTAGGTGATCGATATCTTTCCGAAACCGTAATTAACTTTTTACCCTAGAATCTCTACATCGAGTGCTATTTTTATGTTCCTACTTCTTTTAACATTAGGTGACAACTCCGAACTCAATAATAACTTACATCTCTAGAATAACTCATAAATGAGATGAAATCTTAGATTTTTTCGGAAGTCTCATTCGACGTTGGAGTAGCCACACTCGCTACAAAATAAAATTGAAATTTGAGCAATTTGATTGTTTTTTATGTTTGGCAATGGTGATTGTCTTTGTGATTTAATTATGAGTACTGATTCATGGGTCATAGAAGAAAAGACAAGAAAATTATGAACTAAAAGATTTATAGTAACTGCAGCACACCAAGTTCTCTTGCATTAATGGAAAGGACTGGCCATTGGCGGCAAACCTCAAAGTTTTGCAATCGAGAGACATGGTCTAGACTTACCCGCCATTTGCCTTTCGCACAAACATCCATCCAATGTACTTTGATGAAATTAATTAATTATCCTCATATTTCTATAAACTATATATTTAATCCATATGTGTTTTAAATATGTTCGTAATTAATCCATATTTTTATAAACTATATATTTAAATGCAGTGTAACCCTTGTTTCCTTAATATATATATATATATATATATATATTAAGGAAACAAGGGTGACACTTCAACAATCACAAAGACATAATGTGCTTGAAAGTAGAGTCGTCACTTAATTTTCTTAAAGGTAAAAACTAAAAAAAAATCCAATAAATTAGTTCTAAGAGTTTTGAGAAAGATGGTTAACTATATAATTAGAAAAGATTACGATCATTCTATTGTGCCATCATAACGAGATTATTACTCGACTAAAAAATCCAAAAGTATAAGAATGAGCCCCGAGCCCATATCCACCTGTCATGTTAATTTAAAATAATAAGATTAGGCCTAAGGCCTAATATAAAATTCAAAGCTAAATATACAAGAAGATGAAATAATAGCACCAAAAAAATAAAAAGGAGTAAAATATGAAAAAAAGAATAAATGTAATAAAAATAATAAAAATATATATCATTCATTCTAAAAAGAGGCGAAGGATTGAAGTGAAAACATAATGCATAATGCATGCAAGACATTACCAAAATAAGTTTTTTTTTTAATTATTATTAAATGATTTGTTGAAAATAGAATACAAGTGAACAATCTGGACTCTTTGGTAATGAAAATAAACTTATGGTATTCAGAATAAAATTGATGAATTCTAGTTAATAATGAATGACTTCAACCTTTGTCTTCTGTTTTAACTTAACTCCTCGAGTTGTCTGTACCCAGTTCTATCTACGATTGAAACAAGACTATCCTTGTAAACAAATATTTCCTGGCAAGGTTCTGTGCCTTGAAATACAAAATTTAGTTCTTGGGTATTCAAATCGCATAAGAATAATTGATCAGTGCCAGATTCTAAGAAAAACATATCATTCTTCCAATATGAAACTGGATTTCGAATTCCTAAAAAAGGTCCAATAGTGATTGTTTTGGTCCAACAATCCCCGTCCAATGTCCATACATCAAGAAACTTCTCAATATCATGTAGAGTAAACAGAGCAATCAAGTCACGGTATAATGAAAGCGTTTCAAAAGCTGGCTTATTGTAATCTGGTGCTGGTACCTCTAGGAACTTATCTATGCTCATGTCGAAGGAAAGAATCACATTATTTTCATGACAGGGTCCATAACATCCCCACCAGTAAAAAATTCCATTCAAGTATGTGTTATATGAATTTGTTAGAATATAGTTTTCCTCTAGATCTCCCCAATATCTCCAAGAATCAGTGCCTGATGTGTACACAATGATAGGAATACGCCGATACATATTCATTTCTGTTTCATCCCAATATCGTTGAATTACCACCACTTTGAAATCGCTAGTTGCTAGATCCAATCCAAATCCATAATTATTTGTATAACTAGGGGATTCAAGATTTGACAAAATTATTTTCTTTGGCAGAATCTTCAATTCTTTTGTAGCAGGATTCCATAGAGCAGAATCTCTAAAATAAATAGAATCTAGATAAAATATTCCATTGCAGGGACCACAAAGATTTGCTTTAGGAATTGGTGAATCAATTACCTGATGTGATAAATCTGCAAGTGATTCATCTGAAAACAACTCAAGCAAATCATGATTGTCTGGGTATACAGAATATCCGAAAAAGAGAAAACCCCTATTACTCTTATTGCAGTAGTTGTTCAGATGCTTTGAAATGAAATTGGAACTTGTAATAATAGTGTACCATGACTTGGAAACACATTTGAATTGTAGTAGAGTTTTCACAGGCAACCATGATAGAATTTCAATAATCATATCTTCAGAAAAAAGATATCCATTGTCGATCGTCATTGCTACTAATCCTTCTGAATCCTTTTCAAATCAACAAGATAATAGGAAAATAAATTAGCTCATATATAGTAATCTCAATCTATAAATTTTTAGTCAAATGAATCGAAGAACAAATAGAGATTTCCAATGTTTTATTAATTAAATAGAATTGATAGTATCAAACAGAAATAACTTAAAAAATTTCACCCCACAAATTTTTAAAAAACTTTCAATACAAATTTATCCAATATACTCATTTAGCCAACAATTTAAATAACAAAGTAAAAAAAAAAAAACCAATAAGATAAGAATTAAATGATTACCGAGATACCAAGCATCTACGGACTTTCAAGCTTCATTAAGCACATATCATTTATGTATGCGTATGTGAATTACATAATGTGTGGGTTATTACATGAAATAAAATGATGCAATTTATAGGAAGAGATTGACGTGCACACCTATAGAATTCCATCACCTACTTACCAAGAAAACTAACCATTACCAGATACCGTAATCTACGGATTTTCGTCACTTCACTTACTCTAATAAGATTTCTATTGGCTTTGCTAGCAATCAAAATCCCCAAATCTATAATTACTTAAAAATATATCCAAAAAAATCAAGAAAATCGTATAGTGTGGGCATATATATAGAAAGCACATGATAGCTTTAATGACCATTTAGTGATAGTTTGAAATCGTGGTATTAGAGATATTTTAAGATTTGGCCATAGTTTGAGATAGGATGCTTTAAAAAACATTAAAAAAAAACAAATTCATCACGAGAAAGGAATAAAAAATCCCAATCACAAAAATAAAAGTCGTGCTAAACCAAAATCCATAGATTTTCCAGCCCATAGATTTTTGTTTCCTTCACCTTCTTCAAAGAAATCCGAAAATTGTTATTGGAGTAAGTGAAGCATTGAAAATCTATAGATGACCACAAAATTTAAGATTTTGTAAAATTTTGATTACTTCTAGATCCATTAATAGAAATTTGATTGTAGGAAGTGAAATATTTTAAATCTATGGATTATGGTATCTGGTTTAGTTTTTTCGTAAGAAAGCAAAGAAAAATCTATTAAATGTAAAAGTAAATTCTTACTATAAAAAATAAGATTTCATTTTAAGAAACAAAACGCACAAATATATGTCTAAATTCAAGAAAATTACTTATACAAAAACTCCATAAATTTTCAAAAAGTGCATGTTGCATATTTTTCTTGATTTTTAGACATCTTGATACATTTACATAGTTAAAACACATTGTTTTGTCCTTAATTTTTAGAGTAGTAAAAAAATAATAATAATAAAAAACATTTGAAAAAGCCGGAAGAAAAAAAGAGTAGAAGGAAATTAAAAAAGAAGAAGAAAAAAAGAACAAACAAAAAAAGGTTTGAAAAATCAGAAATGGGTAACCAATCATTAGATGAAACGTGGCAAATAGGTCTCAAAATACAATATTTCTCTTTGAATTAAAAAAAATTACAAACTCATTTTAATAATAAATTAATACAAAAAAATAAAAATAACAAATGTGAAAAGACTTAAACCCCTTCCACCACATAATCATCATTGCCATCATCAATAGCAACCCAACAACAATAGAATCAAAGAGAAACATTATAGTACCGTGTATGTGAAAATATTTATTATTAGATCATTATGAATCCGATACAAACATGAAGTGATAACAATCGAATTTTCATCAATTTATTGATCATATTTTATCTATAACAAATACAATGACTACTAGAAAGCAACCTAGAAAGCCATAAATAACTAGCTAAGAAAATTAAGGCATGAGGAATTAAAAAGACAGACTCATCCAACCTTAATTCAATCTCTGAAAGTAATCAATTATTGTAGAGGACTTGACCCAACAGGACATCGCAGGAAACCAAAACAAAGATAAACAATGAGATAGAAAATAGTTGGATGAAAAGAAAAAATCAGGAGCAAATCCAAAAATATTGAAAACAATTAGACCATGGCACTAGAACCAAAGACAAGCTTGACATAATCTTCCATTTTTGACCATGACGATGGCTTCAGCCACTTGGAAAACATTCATCATCCTTTGAACAATTGATTCTTCTTAAAATCTGATGAAATCTCACCGAAATCAGTCGAATCGAACAAGAAATCAATTATGATCCATTTTTTAAGACTTGGGTCTATCGCTTATTCTAGAGAAAATGAGACCACCTAATGACTGGAGAATGACTCGCTAGGGTGCTCTGAGTTGATAACTACTTATTTCCTCCCTTGTTGTGGCCAAAATCTACGACGAGCAAAAGAGAAGCCAAACATTCTGACATATTATTTTACTAATGTTTTTGTGGGTATTTTTAGAATTTTTGGTTCTATTTTTTTTAAAAAAATTTCGGCCTTGGTTGGTTCTTAAACTTGAATGCAGATAACCTAGGATGGGTTTTGGATTTGTTCTTAAACACTGTGTTTCCTCTTAAATCCAAAATGTTATTTGATTTTTATTTTTCTTCTTGTTTAAATTCAAATGAAAGATATTCAAGAAAGGAAAATAGAGAATGAAAATGAAGATTTTGAAATAATTGTGCTGGGTTGAATTCTTCTTTTCAAATAATTTTTTAACTTTAACTATTAATTTATTATTAATTTTTTTAAAAAAAATTTCAACAATATTATGTGACACCCATAATGACACGTGTCAATTAATAATCAATGGCTATTAATGGTAATATGTCACATCGGATAAATAGTTAACGGATGGTCCGAATTAATAAGTTTCGGAGACTAAAGGATTTCAATCAAGTTAAAAAAACGTAAATGGTCTCAATAAAAACAAAAATTAAACAGTATAAGGATCAAATATAAGATAAACTCTTTGTTTTTTAAATAGGGTTTGTTGTGGATGATAAATAAAGTTGGGATTTTTATGAGGTGATTGGTTTTTGTTGCTAAAAGATGGAAATTGCGCAGACATTTTTAAGTGAAAAAAACAAACATGCAAAGAGTGTTGGTCTTGGTGGGGAAGTGTGCGTTCTTTGTAGAGTAAATTTGCAGTAGGCTAACCTTGAAACTCATTTATGGTCACGTTAAAAGAAAGAATCACATTATTTTTATCATATCAACAACGTATTTTGTAATTAAAAAAATTTAGTTAGAAAGAGCTAAAATAAAAAATTTCTTTTATATAACACATACCATCTTTCAAGCTAGTATGTATGGGTGGCATCACTTTTTCCCTAATTAATATTCAATGA